TATAGTGTTTATAATGTTTTTGGTGCGATTCCCATTCATCCATCCATTCAGCCAATATTTGGTGAGAACCTATTTTGTGCCAGGCAATTAATACTCAAAGTTAATGCAGAAATAATCATTAACAGTGATCATAAGAACTAATATTTACCAAGTATTTTCTGTGATCCTGGTTTAGTGATTATTATTGATTTTATTTTATAGTCTTTATATGTAGATAGCACTATCAGACCCATTTATGAAGATAGTGAGGTTTTGAATGATGGAAAGATATTATCTCATGCAGCAAATATTTATTAAGCATCTTTTATATGCCAATCACTATGCTTTTTGTTGGGAGTATGGTAGTGAGCAAGGATATGATTCTTGTTCTCAAGTAATTTAAATTCTAGTAAGTGGAGATAGACAAGAAGCAAATAAGCAATTAAATGAAATGAAACTTGAAGCTAGAGATACATACCATGAAGAAAATAAAACTTGATCATGTGATAGGGACGGATAGGCAGCCAGGGAGGGTGGGATGAAGTCAATACTTTAGATACAGGAAGATTTACTTAAGGTGACATTGAACGAAAGGTGCCGGCCACGCAAAGGACGAGGGCAGAGCCTTGCTGGCAGGGGGAACAGCAAGCCCACGGGCTGTGCTGGAATGAGCCTGGTGGACTTGATAAGAGAAGGAAGCACGGTGTAGCCAGAGTCCAGCAAGCGAAGGGAGGGTGGTCGACCTTGAACAGCCTGAGAACCCTGGGCCACACGCTACTGAAGACTCTGATGAGTCCAACTTCCTTCAAGCTCACTGGGCATCTTCAGGGGCAGTGCCAGGAGGAAGAACCAGTCTGCTGTGCAAATCAGATTATTTTGTTTCCGCCTACATAAAGCGCAGTTCTCTCTTAGGTCCAGACTTGTCCTTTCCTTCTTGGGCTGTCCAGACCCTTTGGAAGTTGAGACAGAGCCAGGTACCAGGAGGAGCATGGTCTCCTTCTGGTTCTCTCCCAGAATATTTGCCAGTAGGCACGTCCCTTTTGAGTTCCACTCTAGGTGCTACTGAAACAGCCAAGGCCAACACGGCTGACAAAATGTGCCATTTTCTCCCTAATCTTTGCCACACTGCTGTTTCCTGGGCACGACCTTCCATTTTTCTTACTGAGTCATCTCTGATTCGTCCTTCTCCCTGGCTCACTGTGTCGGGTAGAGTGGCCATTACGAACCTGGAGGCACAGACATCCGAAAGGTGCTCAAGTGACCTGTGAGCACGTTAACATTGAAAAGGTGTAAACATAATGATTACATGCGTTTGGGTCTTTATTCTTGCTCTTTTGCTTGGATTATGAATGGTCTCTTGAAGCTCTTACTCAGCTCAGGGCTGAACCACTGTTTTATCGAGAGGCATCACACAGTTGATCATCGCATTTATCACACTTTATGATGACGGTGGTTTTCTTGCTGGATCGCTCCACTATGATGTGAACTCCACATGGACAGAGCCTAGATAAGTCTTATATTTTGTCTCCATATTTCTGACCCAGTGCATGGGGTATAATAGATAATAAATATCTACCAAAATGCTTAGTACTATAGAGAAGGAGGTGAGGCATGAGACATCTGATAGAAGGAACCCACCTTCCCTTCCCTTACCTGATAAGTGCTCTTACCTCAATCTCCCTAACCCCCACCTCTCCTCAGCCGCATACACACCTTCCATCACAATGTCTTGCCTACAGTAGATGCTCCATTTATTTAATAAATTAAATGACAGCTAGATCAGCCTTGCCCCCCTAACACGTGTGCCACACAGAAGCTTCTGCAGTAGAGTTGGAGAGCAATGAATAAAGGGTACCTATCTGGATGATTTAATTTTAGCCTGAAAGATTTATCTTGAGGACTTGTGAGAGCAAATGAAAGAAATGTTGAAATAAAAATGAAGAGATGAGTAAAAACAAGTGCCAACGCCACGCGTTCCGTCGGGTCTCCAGCGAATTTGGAAACAGTGCTTCGTGTGCGATGGTTTCCGTTGCTGGAAGTATTTGGAACAGCTTTGGAGGAGAACGTCACATGGGAGGTGTGTGAGAGATGAGTGGAGGTGTGAGAAATGTGTGTATTACAGCTAGAGGGGGCAATTCAGAGTGTGTAGTTTCTACTTCTGGAAATTGCTTTATCTGCCTGTATGGTTTCCACTAGAATAAGCGTTCTTAACCTTGTTCCCAGAGACATTTGGGCCAGTTGATTCTCTGCTGTGGGCGCTCCCCTGTGCATTGTAGGGTGTTCAGCAGCATCCCTGGCCCTCTACCCACTAGATACCAGTAGCTGCCCCCTTCAGTGATACCAATACAAACTGTGTCCACATGCTGTCAGAATTACCACTAGGTCACCACCACTGCTCAAGATGCAGCTAGTCTACCGCTCTTTCTAGTTACCTGACGAGTATTGCTGATCGACCGGTTTTCCTCTTGAGTCTTCACATTTTGGGTATAGATTCTTCCCAGCCCCAGAACCTTTTGTTGTATTGTTGTGTTCCAGGCTTCGGAAGCTTGACGCTGTTGGCTGTGGCTCAGCAGCCCACTGTGTACTTCCTCCGATGCCAGGTGACTGCTGAGAAGGGTCCCGGTGGGCGGGACGCCGCAGAGGAGAGGGGGCATGCCAGCGAGCTGGTTTAGACAGGAACTCGGGGCTCTTCTATTTCTTGGGGTCTCTTTTAATTGTCTTCCTGGCATCCATACTGATAGTCACTGAAAAGGAATTCATATGAAAACAAAACAATAGTTTCGCTAAGGGTGACCATTGGAGCGAGCTCTCTTTTCTGCCCCTTGACTGGGACACGGCAGCTCCTAAATTATTCACTGTCAGCTCATTTTTTGGTCTAAGGAGTCCACCCAGGAAATTTAAAGAAATTGTGATGAGTATTGAGCTTCTCTACTCCTGGGAAGCATCTATGTAATAGCGTTTCTGAAATTTAGCCTCTGGGATCCCTGATCAAAAGACTTAAGTAAGGGAACCAACCTTCTTGCCTTCAGCTCACTGCCTGAGATGTGCTGAGGGAGAAGGCTTTCCACGCGATGAAAGATACAGATTTACCCAAAGAGAAATCACAGCATGACTATTTCCATTTTTCTTTACAAAAGGATTAATTTCAGTGCTCTATGAGATATATTGCACTGACTGGATGCATTTTCTTTGGTGTTTATTAAGCCCATAATTTTGTAGAATTTAGAATGGAACTGTAGCCAAACTGAGGATCATCCAGGAGTCCCTCCCAAAGCGATTTTACGGATAATACTGGAAGGGTCCCGGGTGGAAGAGCCCTGGCACTTGGCATACGTCACAAAAGTGTTCAATTGCTTTTCTGAACAGCAGGAAATGGGGTCATTTTGATTGTTTGTTATCTGCTAAATCACAGAGAAATGACAGGCACGAATCTGACTTTTAAAGAACATTGACAAACCCAAATCTTGCCTTTAAATCATTGTTCTCCCCGCCTTCCTTGTTACGCGAGCGTGCACGGTGTGAGCTTGTCTAGGTGGTTTCCCAAGCGCATGTGAACACGTGTTCTGCGACCAGTTACAGCACCATGAGAGAATAACGGTAATTTAAGTTGTGTAGATGGTCCTTTTATGGAATTTTCACGAACATGGTTTCATATACTCTTTGTCAGAGTCCCATGAAATAGGTACGAAGAGTATTTTAATTTAAGAGATTTGAAAACCCAAAGCCAGATGGCTAGCAATCTGATGACCCTCCGGTGTTAAACAGTGAGTTAGTGATGGAGCTGGAACTTGAGCCTCGTCACCCAGCATCTCTCGGGGCTCCTGTCACGGCTCTGCGCTGCCCAGTGTACTTTAACCTGAGGGCCAGACTGCCCCGGGCTGAAGTGCGGGTGCTGCCCAGGCTGAAGTGCGGGTGCTGCCCAGGCTGCGATCCCCCGTGAGGCCGAGGCTCCTCTCGCTGGCTTGCTGACTGTTCCCAGAACGTATTTCCTTGAACTGTACGATCGTGGCCCTCAGCTACCAGAGGCTGTGCGTCGTTCATTGTGTTGGGGGAAAACTCCTCCTCTTCCAATGTGGGTCCAGGGATTGGTGGTCTACACATTAACGGACAGTAGACACGTTCACAGGAGCAAAGACAAGGTATATTTGTCCCGCACAGTAGCAGTGTAGACGTGGGAGCAGTCAGAGAGGAGCAGCTCACTGGAATCACTAGAAGAAAAGGCCTGTGTACCGAATTCAACAGAGGGGGGGGGTTGAGGGGGATGGAAGGTTCTGTTGGGCTTTTTTATTTTAATGAGCAACTGAATTCACATTTCCTGGTGCTAAGGGCCAGTCTTGTCCGCACCAGGAAACTCCCTGGGAGAAAGGTCGACGGCAGCTTTCTTTGCAGAGGCTCTGCTTGAGTTTGGATGATGTTTCTATGGCAGCTGATGGTTCGGATGTTTTCAGCTTAAAGTTATTTTCACACCACTTTGGTGGGCTGTCCATTCCCTCTCCTGCTTCGGGACCCTCTCTACAACATTGCATTTTGCTTCTTCAGTACCAAAAGGGGAACATCTGTTGTTATTTTTGTCTCTGTTTTAGGGGTTTACCTGCTTAGGTCAGGCCCACCCAGGTTTCTAGGCTTCAAATCAACCCAAAATGAAGAAAAACATTATAGACAAAGGACTTGGGAACTGGTGGGTCCCCATAAATCCTATATTTGAATGGTCACTATTTGGAAAACCAATCGTAATGAATACACTAAATTCTTTGTTGACAGAAGTAGAAGATGATCATTTGAATTTTAAAACATTGATCGGAAGGAATATTTTTTTTTTATCACTTTACAACCAATTTGTTCTGTGTACTCTACTAGGCCATAAAAAGAACCTTCCTAAGATTGACAATGAACTTGGTAGATATCGTTTAGTACTTCCTTTGACTCATTAGAGGGAGCAGTATAGACATTGCAAGACGAGGAAAAGTTCGGGAGGACAGAGGCCTGCCATGTAACCACATTATGCCTTGTTGTTCTTCTAGGATCTCACGACTCCTTCAGTTTCTACATCGACGAAGCCTCTCCGGTAGGGCCTGAGCAACCAGAAACTGTCCAGAATTTCGTCTCTGTTTTTGGAACTGTGGCCAAAAAGCTGATGCGGAAATGGTTAGCCACTCAAACGATGAACTTTACAGGTCAGCTAGGAGCTGGGATCCGTTATTTTGATCTTCGAATTTCCACCAAGCCCAGGGATCCCGACAATGAACTCTACTTTGCTCATGGTTTGTTTAGTGCCAAAGTCAACGAAGGCCTCGAGGAGATCAACGCGTTCCTCACAGATCACCATAAGGAGGTGGTGTTCTTGGACTTCAACCATTTTTATGGCATGCAGAAATATCACCATGAAAAATTAGTGCAGATGCTGAAAGACATCTATGGAAATAAAATGTGCCCGGCGATTTTTGCGCAGGAAGTTAGTCTAAAGTACCTGTGGGAGAAGGACTACCAGGTTCTGGTCTTCTACCACAGTCCTGTGGCTCTGGAAGTCCCCTTCCTCTGGCCTGGGCAGATGATGCCAGCACCCTGGGCCAATACCACAGACCCGGAAAAACTGATCCAGTTTCTTCAGGCGTCCATCACTGAGAGAAGAAAGAAGGGCTCGTTTTTTATATCTCAGGTGGTGCTGACCCCCAAAGCTAGCACTGTGGTCAAAGGGGTGGCCAGTGGCCTCAGAGAAACAATCACAGAGAGGTAAGTGTCCTTCAAATATCGGGGGTGGGGGGAGCTACATAACTTAACCCAAATTCATAGAGCTAGTAAGCGATACAGCTAAAATCCACACCCACGTGTATTAGTGTCCTAGAGCTGCCACAACGAAGTATCACACTCTGAGTGGCTTAAAACAAAAGATAGTTATTGTCTGTGTGTTCCAGAGGCTAGAATTCTGAAATCAAGGTGTCAGACGGTTCAGTTCCTACGGAGGGCTGTGAGGGACAGTGTTCCCATGCCTCTCCCCTACCTTCTGGCGACAGTTGGCAGTCGTTGGTGCTCCTTGAGTTGCAGATACACCACTTCAACCTCCGCCTTCGCTTTTGCATGGCCTTCTCCCTGTGTGCCTGTCTTACCTTCTTAGAAGAACACCAGTCGTATTGGGTTAGGGTCTACTCTAATGCCCTCATCTTAACTTGAATACATCTGCAAGCTCCCTACTTCCAAATAAGGTCACACTTACAAGTATGTGAAATTAGGACTTCAATATATATCTATAGGACACAGGTCGACCACTGGTGTCATGTGTTTTGACTCCCTGTCCAGTTCTCTTTTTATAGCACACCTTTCACATTTCTGTGGCACTTTATAAATTACAAAGTTCTTTCTCTTCTGTTTGCAGAGTCTTATTACTTACTTAATTTCATTGGACATGCATAACAATCCTGGGAAGTAGATACTGCTTTACTGATAAAAATTGAGGTTCAGAGAAGCAATAGGTTTTGCCTAAGCTCACTTGGACAATGAATGATAAAACAAAGGCTCAAATCTCATTTTTCTCAAGCCATAGTCTATGCCCTTACACTACACCATGAGAAAGGATCAGCTTCCAGAGAGCGGGCATTCCATTGGTCAAGTCCAGGCATGCATGTTGAGTATAATTACACCTGCAAAGTATAATCTGAGCAATCACCAAAGATCTCTGTGGTTCTTTCCCATGAGGGTGACCCAACATGTAGAGCTGTATATATTATTTATCCTTTTGACTTAACGCATTAAACAATGCAAACAACGTCTGAAGACAAAATGCACGTTCTATCAGAACTTTCATCTTTAACTTGGATAGATATACTTATGGTAAGGAAACAAAGCATAAATGTTTTTCTTGGAATCAAGGTCATTGTAGGGAAAGAAGAAAATTAGGAGAAAAGATTTGTAGGTGAAAATAGTTCATGTGGTCCAGCCGGTGTGGCTCAGTGGTTGAGCACTGACCCACGCACCAAGAGGTCACAGGTTCAATTCCCAGTCAGGACACATGCCCAGGTTGTGGGCCAAATCCCCAGTGGGGGGCATGCAGGAGGTGGCCAGTCGATGTTCTTTCTCATCGATGTTTCTCTCTCTCTCCCTCTCCCTTCCTCTCTCTATTTAAAATCAATAAAAGAAAAAAAGAACATAGTACATGTGGTTTTATAGCATAGCATGTAGGCTGGGGGGTCATAGATGAGGCTTGTAGTGGGGCAGAAACACACTTGCAAGAAAGACTTCAACCAAGCTCCAGGGATCTTTATCCTGTGAGCAATGGGAGGTGGTGGTAGAGTAACTTAACCAGGCTGCTTCCAGATAGATCACTGGTGGGAGGATCGACGGAGTGGAGAGAGTGAGCAGGTGCAGGAGCTGGGATCCGTATTAGAAAGGCAATGCACACTGCACTCAGGAGGTGAGCCAACAGAAGGGAACTCTACACACACGGCCAACAGTAGGTTGGTTCGGGAACTATCAAACTAAGTGGTGTGCATGGGTAGAAAGATTGAAGGACAAAGTTTCTTCCTGAGAAGTAGCAGGGGTGATAGACACATTCACAGAGGCAAGAAACAAAGACATCGGGGACTTGGGGAGAAGTTGGGAAGATATAATCAAGGTCATACTCAATTTAGAGGACTCATAAGGCATCCAAGAGTATGTGGCCAATTGATCACAGGAACACAGGCCAACTCGTTTGGCGGTTCTTGGCATTTTGGGGCAGTGACAGTCACAAGGCGTTGGAGTGGAAAGGCTTCTCCATAGAAAATCGTAACTTCCTTCTATTATTCAGATATTAGCTGGGATCTCTCTGTTTCTTAAGATTTAAATAAGATCCCCCAACCCGTCATTGCACACCCTGTGCAAGTGCAAGCCCTCCTCTGAGACGTCTGACGTTCCTGTGAGGTGCGCTTGCGCTTCTGGTCCATGTATCACGTCATGGACTGAGTGTGCTGCGTGACCTGCCCAAACCCACCCTGCAGAACCTGGGACAGGCGACTTGCTTCGCACTCAATTTCCACCTTGGCTTTGAGATTGTACTGAGGCTCTGCAGACGGGAGGGCTTTTGTAAGCCTAACAATGCAGCTAATCTACAATTGGATTTTAATGACCAATCTTCTGGCCCAGGCTATCTTCCTCTGACCACACCTCTACTGCCTTTCACCCCACCTTCCATTCCTGCTCCGCCTTCTCCTTCCCTCCTCCTCCTTCCCCGACCGCCCCACTGCCTTGGGGGTGCCACACTCTTCTCTAGGTTACGGCACCAAACTCGTCACCTCTTTCCTGGCCCTGAGCCTTCACTCAGGTGGTCCTGTCAAATTAGTCAGCAGAATAAGAAGGCGTTAGCACCACCTTCTACAGAAGTTATTTGTTCCGGCAAATAACAACCTACCACGTCTCTTATATACTTCAGAACGAGGGAGCTCTATACACATAAGAATGTGTTGTTTCCAACTCTACCTTATAGAGCCCCGGGTTTTGAGAAATCCCCGAGGGTCGACCAGAGGTGGGGAGGAGGCAGGTGGGGCCTGGGATCAGCCCGCCCCAAGTTTCTCCATTCTCCCTGCACCTGGGCTGAAAGCTTCATGTCGAACTTTTACATAGTAGGTACGAAAGGAGTCTTTCCACAGGCCCTCCAGCTTCGCCTTCTGTTGTGCTTAGAAAAACACATGATTTCATGCAACAGCCTGTGGGAGGTTAAGAAGAAAAATCTACTCGAGGAACAGACAACATCCACTTTTCCCTCCAATGGCATTTCATGCAGTTTGGGACTTTGCAGTTTCAGTTGTTAACTGAACTGCTTTTTGGTCCATCCAGTACAGTGTTACTACAGTAGGACTTGGGGGTGAAAAGATCAGATATGTTAGTAAAGTGCTGAAAATGTTTTTATATGTTATATCTACACAGCTCCCCCAAGAGATTCGCAATGCACATCAGCACAGAAAAGGCCCTAAAAACTATGTTAGTGGAGAATCTTGTTTAAAGTCAACTAATTCGATATTTTCTAAGCACTTCATTTTTTTAAAAAATCCAGACCACACTATTAACAGCCCATGATATCAATTTTTCAAAACTGTCCCCAGCCATCTGCTCTCATTCAGAACCTCTCCCTGTCCTCTGGCGTTTACATCGGGAATAGTCGAGCTGCATCGCTGAAGAGAGGAGATGTGGGTCAGAAGAACATTTCAAAAGCAGAAAAAAAGACCCTCTATGAAGAATCAACGCTGTTCTCTCTAGGGTTATGCAAAATGCTTGCAAATGTACCTAAACATGGCTGGGATCCTTGCGCTATACGCATTCTTGAAAGGAGCTTAGTTTCAGAAGAACTAGAAAGATCTCTTTTTAAACCAATGGCGATGCCTCTGAGTGCAGAGTTACGGTGAAACTCCGAGGCTTAGCTGTGTTTTGTCTTCACGATTTCAGCTTCTGGATGAGGTCTAGAGGAACAGGCCAGTGTCCGCGGTTGCCTGGGGTCTTGCAAAGGTGACTGACTCACCTCTGAACCAGTCAGTGCAAGAACCGTAACTCCCCGAGAACACATGACCTCTCTTTTCTCCTCGAGTGCAGAGGCCCATGAAGAAGACTCGCTGCTGTTTTCCTCTGGCGGTTGCACCACAGCGGCTCGTTCAGAAATCCTATGTGAACACCAGAAATTGTCATGAGACTCTCCTTTGCCACTGAAGAAGAAGCCACTAGGCAATATGAACACCTTTCTGGGCCTTAAGTAATTTCATCTGCAAAACTGGGAGTTTAAATTAGACTATTTCCAAGGTCCTTTTCAATGCCTGCTTCCGACAATTCTAAGATCCTGCATTTGCCTAGTGCCCCTGTAATTCTTTTATGATGCCTAATATTTGGGTCAAGGGATCTCTGAGCACATGCATTTGGAAAACAGTGTTTGCAGGCGGCTCTTGGGGAAACCAGGTTTAGGTCCCATATCTTCTAGTCTGGTCACTGGTTCCAAATACTGCAGATGCACTTTCTACGTTTGAGCAACACCAAGAGACACAAATTTTTCATTTGTTTTCCATACACCAGCTTTTGCACCTCACCCCTACGGAATTCACACATTCTTAAAAAGAAGAATTAGGAATCCTTCCCTAATATGTGAAAGTTCATTAAATCCTAGGTTTTGCTAGTTGAAGCAATTTGTCGAATTACCTGTCAGAATTTTTAAGGAACAATGCATCTTTGCCAATAAATCGATGTTAAATTAATTTAGACAATGTTTATATAGGCCAACAGTTTAGATGGTAATGATGATGATCACAATAAGCTATTTAAAGGGATCTCTATCTGTTCAGTACTGTGTTAACTGCTTTATATGCAATGATTGATTTAATGGTCACAAAACTTCCCCAAAATAGGATTGCCACCCATCAAAAATGGAAGAATGGAGCCTTGGAATGTTAAGCAACTTACCCAGATAACACAGTTAAGAAAAGGTGAATTCAAGACTTAAATCCAGGTTGCTCCGTTTTTGAGTTTATGTATAAAACAAACATGTTTGGATGCCTACTCGTTTCGAGACACTACTCAACGGTGCTTCAACGTGTGACCCCAGAAACGGAGTCTTAGAACCATTGCCATTCTCACTCCCTGCTCTCTGTGAGCAGCAAGGAGGTGACTGCAAATGTGTCCTCACCTCATCATGTGGCAGCATTGGGATGGAGTTGGCAGTATATTCAGGAGGAGGGGCACCTGTTGAGCGGCTCCTGTGAGTCAGACTCTGCACCAAGTGC